ACGACCCGTGCAAAGCCGGCCGGTCGGACGGGCGACGGCTCGCGGGTATGGGCTTCGGCTCAACCTACTAGCATGTAGGTTCTCCCCCCATAAAAAACTATTGGTACCACTTGGGGTCCAAAACAAAGTCCTAAAATTGAATAATATAAAGTGGTTTATACTCTTCTACCTTTCCTATGTGGGATTGGCATTTTTTTCAATTTCGTACCAAGTTCAATTTATTTAACATCAAGTGGTCATTTTTTGGCTTTAATTTCTCATTCACCCTAAATTAGTTTGAGAAAATAAATACATTACATTAATCTACTCATGGAGTAGAATACACTCGGCCAAAGAAATTTTGTCCAACTAACGAGACTCACTAAAATAATTGGTCAAAAGTTGGTCAAACCAACTAATAAAAACTAATTTTCCCAACAATCCCCCACATGAATGGAAATTAATGCAATAGACTATGCAGACCCTATAGAGAGATTAGGTGGAATGTTATCTCATCCGGATATATACCTTATGAACCTTCCGTATTAGAATACTATTGAATTTACTTGGCTAATCAGTGAACTTGGTGTCTTGAACTGTCAGTCGTTGGTATAGACCAAAGAAATGTTTGTCCAACTAACGGGACCCACTAAAATAGTTGGTCAAAAGTTGGTCAAACCAACTATTAAAAATCAATTTTCCCAACAATCCCCAACATAAATGGAAATTAATGTAATAGACTATGCAGACCCTATAGAAAGAAATGTTATCTCATTCGGATAGGTACCTTATGAACCTTCCGTAGTAGAATACTATTGAATTTACTTGGCTAATCAGTGAACGTGGTGTCTTGAACTGTCAGTCGTTGGTGTATACCAAGATAATAGTATCAACACAATAACCTCCTTAACATTTTTGAGTTCTCGTTGTTGTATTCATTTTGACCCTGAACAACTCTTGGATTTCATAAGTGCTTTAGAGAATTCATGTCTTTGAAACATTCTCATAGAAGCGGCCACACTTCACACTTGTACAGGTGATGTCCTATTAAGAGTACCAACATACCTCACTTATATAGTCCAAAATATAGGAATCATTAAAACTTTCTACGTATATCACTTTCTTATCGTAGGAATATGTATGAGTTAACTCTGAAATGCTTCTTTGAATCTTCATAACTTAGTTGTCCCATTGAACCAAGATTTTGGGATCTCCAGTCAACAAAGTTGGATTATCATTACAAACATTCTTGCATAGTAGGTTTTAAGTCCATTCCCCTTAATAAACAGTATACTTGATCTCTTGGTAAGTAGATCCACTAGATTTTCTCTAAACTTTTACATAATCTATGGAAATAACACCAT